ACATAGAGTCGATAGAAAAGTTATGCAGACAGAAGTCGATCAGACTTTAAGTTTCAGGTTAGAGACATGGTAATCCTGAAGGTGTCACCTTGGAAAGGTGTCATTCGATTCAGGAAGCGGGGAAACCTGGGCCCCAAGTATATTGGTCCTTTCAGGAGTTTAGCTCGGGTGGGCAGGGTGACGTATCATTTGGATCTGCCAGAGGACCTTAGTCAGATTCATAACACTTTTCATGTCTCTCAATCGTGGAAGTGTTTGGTTGATGATTCCGCGGTGGTTCCATTAGAGGTCATTCAGGTGGACGATCTCCTGAATTATATATAGAGACCAGTGGCGATCCTTGACAGGAGGACAAAGACTCTACGAAACAAGGTGGTGGATCTGGTAAAGGTGTGGCAGTACCGAAAGGGTTCTGAATGGACATGGGAGCTTAAGGATGAGATGAGGGAGCTTTACCCAGAGTTATTTGCATAGTAGACTTCGATGAGGAAGTCTAATTCAAGTGGGGAAGAATTGTAACACCCGGTTCCAAGGTATTTCGCATTTTAACCCTTGATATTAAATTAATTTGCAAATTTGGTCCCAATTGAAACTTTTAGGGGGGGGGGGGGATTGAGTATGTTAGGTGTACTTTTAGTATGTTGGGCATACGTCGTCCAGGGATAAACCCTAATTTTTAGGGTTTGGACCCTATTCAAGCAACATTATGACCCATGATTCCCTCATTTCCCAGCCTCTATTACCCTTTGAGCCTCATTTCGAAACCATAACCTATCTATAAAAGATTTGACCTCTTTGTGTCTGTTTGGTGAGTGTTGATGAACCTTGAGGAAGAAGAAACTTGAAAAAGGAGGTTTGATCAAAGGAGAGCTTGTAGATTTATATTTTACTCATCATTTCCAGCTTCATTAAGTTATAACGCTTGGAACTTGCTCATTGTATGCTTGGATCTAGTTATTATGAAGCTTTGTTCACTTTTTAGTCCCATGAATGAGATCTAGTGGGATTCTTCCGCTCCAAAAGTTATGAGTTTCTTTTCTTGATGTTTTTGAGCTCCCTAGTCTACAAAGTTAGCATCTTGATGGTTGAGGACCAACCATGCATTTGTTTATGACTATTTGGTGATAGTAGGATGCTAAATCTAGGGTTTGAGTTCTTTTGCGCAATGCAAAGGCTCCAAGTTAGTAACTTTATGGATTAAGACGTTCCCCAAGGATTGGATATGAAGTTTAGACGTCTTGTTGTAAGCATTAAGTGTTTAATGGAAAAAATTGCTTAATAGGTGCATATGTTGGGCGTATACAAGCGTGCACTACATGTATGTGTTCGAGTCCCCAATCAGGAAAGCCACCTAGTACACCGTGCATAATTTTGGTACGCATAGCATACTAGGCCTGGTCATGGCATTTTGTGATTTGGGCCATATTTGGACTGTTGGGGTTTTGAGCTTTGTTGGGTCACTAGCCTTCCTGACTTTGGGCCATTGTTAGGATTTGGGCCTTCTTGAATTTGGGCCCATATTGGGCTTTGGGTATCCTTCGGGAATTGGGAAACTATTGGGTTTTTAGTGATATTGAGTTTGGGCCTCGGTTATTGGGACAATTGAGGGTAAGGCAAAATGGTCTTTTACCATGGGTGTTAGAAAAATGAACTAGATTCCCGATTATGGTTTATGGCCCAATTAATAATTGGGGTTTTATTTGATTGGTTAGCGTGGGGATTCTCCGATACAACAACCTGATCATCTGTTTGACTGACAACAAATTGAGGTTATTCTCCTCGTAGTGTTTGGCAGGTCGAAGGCACCAATACCGGCCCATTGGATTATGTTATAGTATGTTAGCTGTCTTTGTGACTCTTGTGTGGATTGTATGTGTTTAAATGTATATCGTGCAGAGCCCGATGCCAGGCGGGGTTTGATGAGTGTATTAGGCGGGGCCCATCGCATGTTATTGACAGATCTGTTCCGAGCAGGGCTTGATGCTGGGTGGGGCCGATGATTGTAGGGAAGGACCATTATATGTATGATATGTGGTATTTTGGGGAACTCACTAAGCTTTGTGCTTATGGTTTTTAGTTTATGTTTCAGGTACTTCCGGATCGAAGGGGAAGAGCTCGGGATGATCGCATTGCACACCATGATTTTTCCGCTTATGAACTCTCATATACTTTTGGGATGTTATTTGGTTTACTCTAAATATTTTATGGTTTGACAAATTTGTTTGGTTGATGGTTTATTTACTATAAAAACAAAAAAATTTTGTTCTGAGTTTTGGGACATTGCATATGCTCACATCTGTGTGCCTCCGGTTTTGTTAAGTATGGAGCTTAGACGCGACCCGAGTTAACTTTCCTTTTTATTTTCACTCGATCACATAAGATTTTTTTTTCTAAACTTTGAACAAGTATAACTATCTCACATAAACTACAATTTTGTTTATTCTTTTTGCTGTGTTTTCTCTATTCTTGTCTACATCTTAAAATCAAGAACTACTGATTTAATTCTCTAAAGCACAAATTCTATAGCCACAAACATCGGGTGTTGCACATGTCGAATATTACAAACAAGTAACATGCCATTTTCAAAGTGGTGTTACTTTTTTTTAGATTCATTTAATCTTATTTTCTTAAATTACACTATTGTGTTGTTCTAGCTACACATTAAGTCGTAGTTGTTATACTTGTAAGTCTAATTCCCAGGACTCCAAACTAAGACACTTAACATATTGTGAAACTTCTACTTTTCATTTTTTTTGTACATATATTTCAAGATTTCCACTATGTACACTCTAGGCTCATAATCTTTTGTTAATAACCACATATATACCATGATCAAACATGTATTCCATTGAATTTTGACCATTAGAACCCATTTTAGCTTTTTCTTTATTCGACAAGGTTGTCCCCATTGTTGCAATATAACCTTTCGCAACTAACTTATTACTACCTTATTGGGATCAAAAGCATTATATTTATGTATCTAACATCTTAATTACTCAAAATTAAGGATGTTAAAAATGCATACCCCTTAAGAGGACATAGTCAACAAAAATAGGGTAATGTATCATCACATATTCTTTGGTCTCTTAAGTAAGGTCTGGTCCATATGAATGCTTCCATTTCACCAATGATTAAGTAACCCATGAATAAGTAACACATACCCCCATGATTAAATCTTCATTGGGGAGAACCTCATGTAACATTAACCGATGAATACGTAATCCATAACTTGACATTGTTGATACATTGAGCAATTATAAAAAACATGTAGTCTCAACTATGTTCAACGTTGTTATGATAAATGATCTACGACTCTATGGACATAGTGCGTAGTTCTCACATGGTTCACTTGTTTACCAAAACTCATGTTAACGTGGTACTATAAAACAAAATAACGAAAACTAACACCGACAATGAAAAATGGCTTATGGTATTTTTCATAGGTCAGATCAGTGAAACACCAAAAGTGGCTTATGAAAAATACTCTTTTATGGTATTTTGCAGAATTGCAGGTGACTATTAGTATTTTCACATAGACGATGCTCGAAATTACCAAAATTGGCCTACGAAAATACCACAAATGAGTAATTTTGAATGCATGATTTGCAAAAATAACATTTTTGTATGTTATACTTGCAAACATAACAAAACTTATATGAAATTATCCATTTTCATGTCAAATTTGGTATTATCGCAGGTATGGCCAACAAAAATAATATAAACTACCTACAAAAATGTCCAAAAACCCCTTTTTGAATAAAATGAAAATAAAAATGCTAGAAACCTAATTTACACACTTCATATATGGGTAAAACGTTTCTAATTTTGTTGCAAAACTGAAAGTCGAAAAAATGATATTTTTAGCTAAGGGCCCATTGAGTATTGACCGTTATTAAATCCCATCATGGCCATCTCACACGCCTTCTGCCCTTCTCCGTCAAATTGGTGATTATTTTGAGGAAAAAAAAAGATTTTTTTTTATTAGAAAAAAATAATATTTTTGCTTAGATTTGTGTTTTTGCTCTTTATTTCTCCCCAACTTACGTTATATTTAAAAGGATGCTTAAATTGTCAAATTGTTTTTAGTTTACCATTTTTTTTTTCTTTGTGTATGGCGTTACTTTTTGTCATTTTATTTTTTCTGAGATTATGTATGTGTTAACTTTCTTTCCCTGTAATTCTCCTTTTCATGGTCGTACAATCAATATTTAATCATGTTTCATCTTGAATACGATATGAAGCCTCAACATCATAAATTTGTAGTCTACATCCAATATATCCTAAAAACTAAATTAAAATCTATATAGTTTTTTGTAATATTTCGTTGCTCCAGTCATTGCTAAATTGATAATGTAATGACTTGCAATTCATTGGTAATTTCGATGTTGTTGGTGGGTTTTCTAATGGTGATTACTACAACATGCTAAAAGAGTAGTTGGAAAAACTATCGAACAACGAGTCATGGAAATGGATGGTGGCTTCAATTAATGTTTCCCATATAAAGGTGAATGTGGGTTGTTTTTGTTTCAAAGAAATGAAGAAAAAACACCATGTGGATTGTGGTTTGGTTTGTGAAACAAATAAATGTTTACCTGATTACAACCAACATGTTTTGTTATATAATAAAATCTCGCCATACTGTACTTCTAAAGTTTCATTAGTTTTTACACATTCACTTTACTGGTAGCAGACCTATTTACTCTTCATTTTAAGCATTGCATCATTTAATATTCTTGTTAGGGGAAAATGCAAAAATTGTAACCTAATTTCGTTTATTGTGTAGATGCATGTTAATAATGTTGGAATGATAGAATGCTAGTTAACTCTTGTAAATTTTGTAGAATAAGAATGGAGGTATTGAATTTATTAAGCTGGTTAAATCAAAACTCAAAAGTTAAATAATCTACAATTAATGAAAACTAAATAAAAGAGCTGAAGTAAAGGTGACCCCTCAATGTAGTATATAAATAGGAGATATTCCATATCATTCATATGCAGTTATGCACCATGCAATCTCTCACTGTTCCATCTTTATTACAAAGTTCGAAACTATATTCAGAAAAGAATCTTTATATATTCTTCTTCTTCCTGTTTTCATTTTTGGTGAGTTTATATTGCTGCTTTTGTTGTTCAGAAAAAGACAACATAACAACTGGGATTAATTATTTCGTCAATGATGGTCTTGATTATTTAGAAAGCTTCAAATGGGTTTCTTTCCACATCAGAAAACGCCAAATTCACCTAAGAATAAGCTTGGACAAGGTGGTTTTGGTGCTGTTTATAAGGTATGATATATATATATATATATATATATATATATATATATATATATAGAGAGAGAGAGAGAGAGAGAGAGATTACTTTCACTTGGTATCTCTAGCTATAACTTATAAGACGTAGTAACTTTAATAATCTTAACAAGGTAGCCTTCTTGGAGGACAAGAAACTGCCATGAAGAGGTTGCAAGAGTTCAGAAATGAGGTTACGGTGATTGCAAAACTGCAACATCGGAATCTTGTTAGACTTTTGAGGTATTGTGTCAGAGGAGATGAAAAGATTCTACTCTACAAAGACATGCCAATTAGAAGCCTAGATTCTATTCTATCTGGTTAGTCACTTAATTCAGTTTTTTAACAACATAATTATAATTAAAATACCAGACATATGATTCTATTTATCAAAGCATAGACACTTATTACTCCAAATTAACTTCATTTTTTTGCAAGGGCCAAAGTTGTGCACATCATTGGATTGGCATATGAGATTTAACATCATCATGGGAATTGCATGAGGACTCAACTATTTACATCATGATTCGTGGCTGCGGATAATTCTCATGGATTTGAAAACAAGCGACATTTTGTTAGATGAGGACATGAATCCTAAAATTTCAGATTTTGGTTTGGCCAAGATCATTAAAGGAAAAGATACAGAAGCAATCACTAAAAGAGTTTTCAGTAAGCTTTTTAATTTCACAAAGTAAAAACTGCTATGAATATAACAATGTTGGGATCATGTAGTTTTCATATAAAACACAGACAACCTTTGTTAGTGGGTCTCCAGAGTATGCATTAGATAGGGTGTTCTTTGTGAAATCTAATGTTTTTAGAATTTGGAGTTGTACTAATTGAGATTATAAGTGGAAAAAAGTAACAAAGGATTATTATATTAGTCTTTTAGGACAAATAAGTTCTATAAGACTTATGAAGTTGTTAGCTACACTGTTTTCTATTTGTCGTATAAATTTTCATATATTTCAGGCATGGGGTTTATGGATGGAAGATATAAGCCACATGAGTTGATGGATCAAACACTGATGGACTCATGCCATACAAATGATATGTTGAAGTGTATAAATATGCGGCCCATATGTGTATAAGGACAACCTGATGAACATCCTACATGGAAAACATGGTTTTGATGCTTAAAGGTGAAATTGCAACCCTCCCAGCTCAAAAAGAACCACCTTTCATTTCATTCAGGAAGAAGCGTACGCTACTTCTTCATCTAGCTTGTCTAAACCAGACACCCAAAGCAAAAAACATTGTTATAATCACTGAATTAGTTAGATGGACACTAACAATGTATTTATGTTAACTGCAAATGTTGGAATTGTGCCCTTCAATCAATATGTTGAGGGTTAAAGTCCCGTTTGAGACAAATGTATAGATTTAGGAGCAAAGGGGTGTGTGAGTTAGCCATTAAACTATGAAATAAATTTGGTTTTATTAAATTATTCTCGTGTGTAACAATATTCTATTGCGACCCTCCGACAAATGTTTATTTTCGATAAAGCTTCTTGTTGAATACTTTTTTCCTAGGTTAAATAGGTGGTCAATTATATTCTTTAAATGGACTTTGATGAGACTCAAAATCATGCACCTATAAGATATGAGTAGTTGGTGGGTACCATTTCTTTAATCAAATGCGGCCTATTAGTATGGGTTGTTGGAAATCCGGGATTGAACTAGTGACTTTCTTATCATTGTTCATTTACACAGGGTTCCGTGTTTAATAAAGCAAATGAAAGAAGCGGATGAAAAATAAGGAGATCTAGAAAAGAAAATGAGAGGAATGGGAAGATATATTATATTTTCATGTTCTCAGGTTCGATAAAAGAGAGAGGGGGGAGGGGTCATTTTATTTTATTTTTTCTAATTTTCGAGCATAGGATTTAGGAGGATCATTTCATATTTAAAGTTTCAATCAAAAACTTTGATTTTAACATATATTTTATGTAATTTTAATTTTGTATGTTTTATAATTATTCAGCAATTTCATCAATCACAGTATAGAACAAAAGTGTAATATGGTCATTTTTCATCATTCAACACGATCACTAAAATGTACAATCAAACAATATAGTTTTTTTCTCGATCAGTAAACCTTTTCAGACAACAACTATCAAATGGCCTTAAATTTATTTCAATAAATAGTTGAGGGTCTACCTTTGCAACTTTTTACCTTTATCAAATTGTTCAAGAATTTTCTTTGTTTTGCTATGAACCTAGGTAGAACGTTTTAAAGAAACTTATCAAACTGTGACTTAGGTGTTGTTTGATTTTCTGAAGCAAAAATTCATGAAGTCTGCGGACCACCTCTGCAACCCTCTGCAGTAGAAGATGTGGACCAAACGGATGCAGACTGTAATAAAAACTGTGTTTGTTTTTTTTAACATATGCATACTGCTGCAGATATTAAAAAATTAAAATAAACTAATTTTATAAATCAAAAATAGTTTTTTAATATGAAAAATTTAATAATTTATAACGTTTCGGCAAAAATTAATGATAATTCAATAAAAAATAATGATGTTTCAACAAAAAAATAAAGATATTTAGTAAAAAAATAATGATATTTCACCAAAAATTATCATTATTCAATATAAAAAAAGGAAAAAAAAATCAACAAGAATAAACAAAAAAAAAGTGAAATAAAATTTCAACAACATATAATAAAAAATTCAGCTAGAAAAAAGAAGAAGAAGAAGAGACCGAAAGATGTTAGAAGAGGCAGTACAAGTGCTGCGCCAAACAGAGCACGCGTAAAAGTTTTTGACTCTGAAGACTTCTAAAAAACAAATAGCTGCGAAATGAAAAGTGCTGCGCGTGTGCTGCGCCGCGCAACAATAAGAGGTCTGAAGAGTTTTTTTTTTTTTTTTTTTTTTTTTTTTTTTTTTTCCAAAAAACAAACAGCACCTTAGTCAATATGCAATAGTTATTACAATAATTTATAAAATATATTTCGAACTTTTTATATCATTTACGCCTTCATCCAAATCTACTCAAATAAATGAATGTTTTTTTTATCACATGTCACACTCTTATTCAATTTACCAAATGTCATTTTGTGATTATTTTGAATTAATTTATTTTCCACATGTCATTTCATGAGTTTTTCTATTTTAATAAATTTCATATAATCCTTTAATGTAATAATTACAATAAATATAGTAATAAATAAATATCAATTTCATTAATGGACTTACTTTTTTATTTCAAAATTACCAAGTTAAAGCTTATTAATTTATTTTGTTTATTTGTTTAAATTTAAAAGATAAAAAAAATCAATTTTAATAATTCTTTATTTTTCTTATTTTTTTTTATAAATCCAAAGTTTTAAAATAATTCAATATTTATATATTTTTTTTTAATTAACCCATATATTATATGAATCTTATATCTTATCCTTGTCTTTCGTGTAGCTGTTTTGTATTTGGGTTCTTATGCTTATGTGTATATAATGTACGTTTCTTGGATTCAAGTCCAGATGCACAAATAGGTGGTTTCTTGAAATCTATTTTTGACAAAAGGATTGAACTTACTATGTTCAATTGTTGCGGGACTGTTTCTGTAATTTACTCCTCCATCTAGACTTCGAGACTGTTCTCTCAAGTCATCTGGTTGTAACGCGTTTGACTTCATCCAACGTTTATCCCCTCAACATCACCGATACGATTTCCTTAATCCTTATATTTGTTTATATATACAACTTTACAAGGGGCTCATCGACGAAGCGTGTTCTTGTTTAATTCTGGACTCAGGTATCTTTTCATCGGCACTTTCGCTAATCGATATTCCATTCGCTAATAGATTATAATAATTAAAGATCATTATCGCTGAAAAATGATAAAATAATGCGAACTTCGAGAAACCCGTGGCCAATTTTGTATGATATCTGTTGTCCCAATATCTGCAATTGTTAATAATTTAATTTTTTAATGTCGCATCTTGTTTATTATATGCAGGCCAGCACACAGACTGAAAAATCTCGATTACGTTTTGCTTTTTGAGTTTATAGCTCAATAACTTCAAAGTATCTGATTATTTTTGATTTCCTTTCATTTATCAGAAACTATGGCCGAAGGGAAGACTGCGATTGCTAAGGATATTACCGAAGTAAGTTTGTTGATCGTATGTCAGCTATTTTTCCCAAGGTATTAATTAACGAACGGATCTTTGTTTATGCCTGCAGTTGATCGGAAACACACCTTTGGTTTATCTCAACAATGTTGTGGAAGGTTGTGTTGGACGTATTGCAGCCAAATTGGAGATGATGGAACCCTGCTCTAGTGTTAAAGACAGGTACTTATTTCATTACAGTAGAAAACTTCCATTTTCAAACCTACCGGTTTCTAGCAGTTGATTACTTTTTCAATTGGTTATCCATACTATAACTTATGAGGTTCAAATGAATCAACACTACAAACAGTAATGAACTAACCTATTGAATCTGAGGGGTGATATGATATGATTTAGAGTTGTATTATGATTTATGATTACTTGTGTATGGATCTGATTTTGTTCTTGTTGTGTTCACTTGTGGAGTGCAGGATTGGTTACAGCATGATCTCAGATGCTGAGGCAAAGGGGCTCATTACCCCTGGACAGGTTTGCTAACATACTTGATATATTCTAGAAGAGGATTGTGTTTTTTCAAATTTGATGATATATCTGACATGTAGTTTTTGTATTGTTTCTAAAGAGTGTTCTTATTGAACCAACAAGTGGTAACACTGGCATTGGACTAGCTTTCATGGCTGCAGCAAAGGGTTACAAGCTGATCATCACCATGCCTGCATCCATGAGTATGGAAAGACGAATTATCCTCCGTGCTTTTGGTGCTGAGTTGGTTCTTACAGATCCTGCTAAAGGAATGAAAGGTGCTATGCAGAAGGCTGAGGAGATATTGGCTAAAACACCAAATGCTTACATTCTTCAGCAGTTTGAGAATCCTGCAAATCCAAAGGTGGCATTCTTTAACTAGTTTTGTTTTTTCTATCTATTTCAAAACTCTAATTGCTTATTGTATGTTGTAGATCCATTATGAAACAACTGGACCCGAAATTTGGAAAGGTTCAGATGGTAAAATTGATGCTTTTGTTTCTGGTATTGGCACTGGGGGTACCATAACTGGTACAGGGAAATATCTTAAAGAGCAAAACCCTAACATAAAGGTTTGTTTTTTACTTCTTTAGAACTAATTTGATAAGTTCAACATTAGCACTTCTATAATTTGATTAATTCCATTTTTGGCATCAGCTTTATGGAGTTGAGCCCACCGAAAGTCCTATTTTGTCTGGAGGAAAGCCTGGTAAGCTACTTTGATGCTTTATTTCTTTTGTTCTATAATTGAAACATTTACAGAAAGTCAAGAAAAAGTGGCTTTTTCCATGAAGTCTTTAATAACTTTTTACAAATTTGCATTCATTTAGTTTTTTCCTTTGATTACTGATCTCATTTTATCATGGGTAAGGTCCACATAAGATCCAAGGGATTGGTGCTGGTTTTATTCCTGGTGTTTTAGAAGTTGATCTTATTGATGAAGTTGTTCAAGTAAAAACCACCTCCCTTTTCTTTCACAATCTTTTTTGTAAAAATTGCTTCATGTAGTTGTATTGAATTAAAGTGATGTTTACATGGATCTTTATTTAGGTCTCAAGTGATGAAGCCATTGAAACTGCAAAGCTTCTTGCTCTTAAAGAAGGATTACTTGTAAGTTATAGTTACTCATCCTATGCATCTCCAAAAAAATGTAGTCATAAAAAACAAGTTTTACAAGAGATAAATTGTACAAGTCTATTCAGTTTATGTATGAGTAACAACATAGATGATTATTTTGAAGGGTATTCTTGTAATTTTTAGTCAGTGGCATCAGCAATGGTAGTTGAGATTCTGATGTCAGCCACATCACATGTGTTGCAGGTGGGAATATCATCTGGTGCTGCAGCTGCAGCTGCAATCAAGATTGCCAAGAGACCAGAAAGTGCTGGAAAGCTGATTGTTGTAAGTTTCTTCACTTTATTTATTTATTTATTATTATTTTTTTAATATTTGCGAAAATGATGACAAGCTGGGCGAGATGGAAGGAAAAATAAACAAGGGTAAATTTGTAAAAAGTTGGGACTTTGCATTAAGTCCTGTCTCCATTGACTCTATTAAATAAAAAAAGAAAAAGTCAATAACTTTTCTGTCATTGACATCAGTCTGAGTCCAACAGTGTCAAACACAGTACAACTTGTTTGACATTTCCATGTGGTTATTTGGTGATGAGATTTAACGTACAACTAAATACACAGGCTATCTTTCCAAGTTTTGGGGAGCGATACTTGTCTTCAATCCTGTTTGACTCGGTAAGACGTGAGGCAGAGACTATGACTTTTGAGCCTTGATTGCATGCTTTGTGTTGACTATGAAGAAGAACCATGTCAGCTTATTTCAAGTTAGTTTGTAAGCTATGCATTGTTTTTCATGAGGAACCATGTCATTATTTATGATGCTTTTAGTTTTAACGAACATGGGGATGTTTTTTGTTCATGGTTATCTTGTATCAACTAGGAGTATAAATCTTATTGATAACATGCATAAGATTAATATCTATGCATGATTCCAGTTTTATAAACAGCATAAACTTGCCTGTCTATAATTTATAGAACCTCGATTTTGTATTTTAAAATTTCATTTGGAAAGTTATCGAGGAACTTGAAGCAAGTTTATGATATATTCCATTTCACACTTAGATATATTAATCCCATCTAAGACCATTCGGATGTCCTTTCATGTACTTTTTTAATTAGGCCATGATGATGTACCTGATTTGATTGGTATTCAAAAAGTAAGCTCCGGCTTCATTATATTTCCACAAATCTTAGAATAAACACACCATTCCACATCATATATATCTTTTTATTTTTTTATTTATTTTCATAGAATATTAAAATATATATATATATATATTTAAAACAAAATAAAGAATTAAGTAATAAAGCAAATAAAAAGTACATCAACAAAAGTAAAAGAAAAAAAAGACTATGTAAAATTAAAAAGTAGCTTACCTAAAAGTAAAAGTTACGTTACAAACTAAAACTAAAATTAGTCACATTTTGCTTGAATTTTCCAATGGATTTTTAAAAACGCTTTTAGTTGTTGTGGCGGAAGATCTAGATTGGGTGGTGTTTGCTTTTAGCTGTGGCGGAAGATCTGGACGGTGTGGTGTTTTCAAAATTAACAAATCGTTTAAGTATTTGTTGGTGGTGTTGTGAACTTCTGAAACAAAATTTTTCTTGAAGAAGAATAAGATAGCCGTCAAGCTTTTACAAAAGTACTTGCACGCATTTGTATCAACATTTTTCTCCAATGGTGATGCCACCCTTTTGTTTTGTCATGTCTTGTCCGACAAAGGGGGGCTTCCGTGGCTCCTTGTCCATGTCATCGTTGGGGGTCAATTCCAAAACTCATCTTCGACTATGTAGTTTTCATTCGTTTCTTGGGGACGGTGGATTACAATCGAGAGTAAACGATTCTAGTTCAAAGGATCCATTTTAGATATCATTAAACTGATGCAACCTGCTCTTAGCACACGTCATTTGATATTTACACCGTCGTACGTCAATTATTTATTCATTTTCTATCTGTAAAAGTGTGCTAGAACACTGTTACAAAATATTGTCTCGTGTTTGATGTTGCTCATCTTCTCATCTAGAAATATATAAATTCAAGTGGGTGTTAACGCCACTTCCTCATTGTCGGTCTAATTTATACCATATATTTTCGACTTTTATTTTTTTTCTCTTCTAGATGGCTGTGGTTGAGTTTCCAATATCGTTTCCTTGTCAATCTATTGGGGAGGTTGTGCTTGAGAATGTTGGGATTGAGGAGGTTATGGTTGGAAATGTTGAAATCGTTGACATTAGTTTTATGTTGGAAGCAATTTTGTTGAAATGGTTGTTCAAAAAGAGGTGATTGTCGAATATGTGAGGATTGTAACATGTTCATAAACCTTTAAGTTGGTGATTCGCAGTGTGGGTATTGAGAGGGGTTGTGTTAAAGGCGCATCAACCGGTGGGTGAATTGAAATTGAATGTGTTTTGGGGTGTGTGGAGTGTTTGATGTTGATATTTTTTTTAGGTACAGTGTATGTGAAATAGCTGGTAGCTTAGAAAAAGAAAATTGGTGGTTGTAGTGTGAATATATATATATATATATATATATATATATATATATATATATATATATATATATATATATAATAGATTAATATTTAAAGATACCAATATATTATTTTTTGAAAGTGTTTTTTTTGTTAAAATGCTTCAAATGGTCACACACATTACAATTACAACGGTCACACCACACTAAAACTACAGAACCTTGGGACGAGTTCACACGTAGGGTTGAGTGCTACATCACCGTTACATGATGTTGGTAACGACCACTTCAGATAACATTATATTTAAAAAAAACTTACAATTACTTTTGTCAAATGTTTTTTACACAAATAAAAGCGACAAATTTCACAGTTTCCTACTACTAGACATTTTTTTCAAATATATCTTAACTTTACCTTCTAATCTTATGATAATCTGACTGTCGGATTTCTATATATTTTGATACAATTATTTTGCAAATTTGTCTATTTTCGACACTTGATTCCAACATTTACAAATATAAATAAGTTATATTTAAAACACTCATTAACCCAATAGTAACAATAATTCAAGTTTTGAATCATTTCATTATAATGCAAAAATTTTATTAATTCGATTTAGTTAGAATTATAATTATAAGTAATAATAGTGTTTGATTTAATTGTATACATATGTTGCATAATTAAAGAAAAGAAATAATATATGGAAAGAAGTGAAGTCGGTGTCCCACATCGGAGGAGTGGGAAAAGGTAGGTGCATATTGTTAAGAATAAAAAGGAGGTTGGATGTGGGTAAGAGGTTAACCCGTCCTGTCAGGGTGAGAGGCGACCTATCAATGATCGTATTGAGACGGTGGGTCGTGCCGACGCCTAAGACAACGAACACACATTTAAAAGACGAGTGAGTCCGCTCTACTTTTTGTGGGCTTGCCCGTCAATTTTTGGAAGCCCAGTTAATTGGGCTCAACAATATTTCTAAAAACATTATTTACTCAAAAAATGATTTATATATATAATACGGTTTTTTTGCCTAATGATAATGAAAGTTACAAAGTAATAATATTACAACTTAAAATACATACACTTTACAAAAAATTCGTCTAGTTAACCGATTATAAATTATTATTAAGTTGTATTTCAAGCACTAAATTGTAATGTTTATAGAGTTCAAGAAGTACTTTCTATTTTTTTTTTCATAAGAATGTATTTTGGGTTGCGGCACAGCTCGTTGCTTGTTTATCCGCTACGTCTATGTAAATATTTTTTGATTAATATAAGTGAATCAATTTTTTATAGCAACTTACATTCTATGTATTTATATAATTTATTCAAGTTTCATAGGCGGATAACAGAACGTTATCAATCCACTAAAACTCATAACCGAACCCAGTACAATAAGTGATTGGTTCGATTATGGTTCCGTTTTGATCCCAAAGCAACTCATGCAAGTCCTGAATATAGAAATGGTCTTTGTGGCTCGAAGTTTTAGTTTTATTACAATAATGTCCTTAGGCTTGAATTTTGTTGAGCTTTTGGTCAATTTGAAAATACTAAAATACTTATATTCGATTTTTTTATATCCGATTTTTTTATATCGTTGTTGTTTTAAAATCAATCTAAAAGAAAATTATATGCCCGATAGTGAGACTATATTACTTTGTTTTTTTCATAAATCTCCTTTTTCAGCAAATATTACGTATTTATCCATTATACATTGCTTTTATCTAAAATATGCAAAGGAAACATTCAATTATTAAAAATCTAAATGAACTTAAAACACAAACAGAAAAAAATAATAATACTAATTTGGTCCTAAGTATTAATCATTATACTCATAATAATCAATAATCGGCCATACTATTGTTATACATAATGAAATATATATATATATATATATATATATATATATATATATATATATATATATATATATATATATATATATATATATATATATATATATATATCATATCATATTATATCATATCGAATAATAAAGCACTAATCGGAAGAATTTACACCTCCTTTCCGAGGACATGCAAAAAAGTGATAATGGATCTTATCATCAAAAAGGAAAAAAGAAGGGTTTGTCATGTATAACATTGATAGCCTGATTCTTCGTTGTTTTTTGTGTTTCAGGCTTAAAGATAAATCTTCTGATTACCAAACATTATGGTATCGGTGTTCATCAGAATGAAATTATAGAGTTGGCGGAGTCAACATGATGTAAAAGTCATAAGCTCCCATTTATTACCTTGGTCTTCCAGTGGCCAGCAATATTGTTGGGATGTAAAGTTGGAGCCTCATTATTGATAAAGTTAGGAAAAACTTTCTAATTGGAAAGTTAGTGCATTGTCGATTGGAGGGAGATCTACTATTGTTACTTTGATGCTTGGCTTTGTTAGTACTTAGCATCTTTCTGTTTTCTTATTGCATGTTTAGATTAAGAAGCGATTGGAATCTTTGAGGGCTCGATTCTTTTGGGGTGGTGAGAGCTCGAGTAGAAAAATCCATCGTGGTAGTTGGAATATCGCGTTGGCTTCTAAACAAAAATGTGGCTTAGGTATTGGTTTGTTGGAAAGCTTTAAATCACGCCTTTTTACAAAAGTGGATATAACGGTATGTCAATGAAGATAACTCATTATGGGTTAATTCATTGATGCCATTTATGGTCCTTATGTCGGTGATCGGTTTGGAGGATCGTGTAGAAATGGTCAAGGAGTTTGATTCTTCATTCGACTGTTTCTAAGGTGGTGGGAAGAGTCAATCACACTTGGTTCTGGTTTTGACAAGTGGGTAGGTAATGCTTGTAACATCCCGAAAATCAAGGGTTAAAATTTCGTTTTTAATATATAAATTCCAACATCCATTTACATTTATCCAGGCATTAAGATAGCCCAAATTAAAACAATTATTAGAGTAACTCCCAAAATTATAAGTTGCGGAAAAAACATAGGTGTGTGCGCTGCGATCAAGCCGGACCCTTCCCTTTCAAACCGAAAGTACCTGAAACCATAAACCATAAACTGTAAGCACAGAACTTAGTGAGTTCCCCAAATACCACATACCATACATATCATATGAGCCATACATGACATTCATATCTAATCAATCAATAAAAGTGCTATGTGCCAACCATAGTCTTGTCGTTATGCTACTGTGGTCTTCCTTGCTAGGCTGGGGGCCAAAACCCCGGGTCTTACATATAAGTTTCAGGAGCCACCTCCGGGTCTTCTATGCAAGCATCACAAAGACAACTAGCATACAATCTACACCACTTAACTAATTAACTTCCAGAGTTCAGACTCTGGTCTTGCATACAGTTTGCCAAAAGTTGCTTCCTGGTCTTTCATACAAACTGTCAAGGGTTACCCCCGGGTCTTCCTACAATATATAAACCAAATGGGTCAGCATTGGTGCCTTCGACCCATAGAACAGTGAGGAGACTCACCTCAAATGCAGAAGCCCGCTAAAAGAAACTCCTAGCTGCTACCCTAACGACTCCTCTAAGGTATCAATACTAAAATAACACCCAATTAGAAATTAGGTTCCAACTATGATCCATAATCCATACTTTGGGTAAAAATGACTATTTTACCCCTGGCCCAATCTTGATCAGAACTGAGACCCAAACCGAAAAACCAAAAAGGCCCAAGTCCAAAAGATCCATAAAGGCCCACTAATGGCCTATTTTTCCAAATTAGGCCCAATCCCCATATGGGCCTAATCCTAAAGCCCAAAACTTCCCTAAGTCCAATAGTTGATCTCAGATGGCCCAAAGGCCTAAGCCTATTGGGCCCACTAAAGCCCAAAATCATTAGGCCCACAAAAGCCCAATACAAAAATCTAGGCCCAACTAGACATGCCCAAACAAGAGTCCAAGACTTTAAGATTCCTTTGACCAATAAGCCCAACACACAAATCCCAAACCTAAGTCCGAAGCCCAAACGTGAATAAGCCCAAAAGTCCATAACTGAAAGTACGTGGGGCGTACCCCCTAGGTACGCTCAGCATACTCGAAGATATTAATCAGGGCCTCAAATCAGTACGTATAGCATACTTACAATTATGCGGGGCGTACATGGACTTTTTCCACAACTCGATTTATGACTTAATCCTTTAAGTCCTTTGCACCCAAACCTCAGAAAACCTTTAAAATAAGTTCATAATCCATAAAGTTGGCACGTTTATGCATTTTCATTGCTCCATGGGACCCAACAACCATCTTAATCCATTAAGACCCAATCTAATCCAACTAGAACATGCATGTACCATTCTTAAACATGAAGCAAGCATTTTTATAGACTAACAACATCAGGAGAGGCAATATCTAACACTCCAAGCTCCTTGTGTGACTCAAACTCACAAGGAGAACTTAATACACCATAAAAACCCTTAATCTTGGCCTAAAATCAAACTTGCACAATAAGAAGTCAAGATGAGAACTTTATACCTTGAATGAGCTGGAAATGAAGCCAAAAATCTGGATCTAAACGTCCTCCTTTGAACCACAAGCTAGCATCAAGCACCATTTTCTTGAAAATGAGCAAGAACACACCAAACAACACACTTAGATCTCTTAAACACTCAAGATAAGATTAGGGTTTCCGAAATGAGGCTAGAATGCAATGGAGGTTAATAAAGGAAAGAGCCTTGAGCTCATAAAGATGTTTAAATAGTGCCCAAACCCTAAAAAATTAGTGTTTGGCACTCTGACCATTACGCTGGGCGTACCCCCAGCTTACTATGGGCGTACTCACCCATGCATGTGCCTTCAACCATGCATGCATGGGACTGAAACGCAAACCTTTATCAATACGGGCCATTTCTGCAAAAATCTTCAAAATACCATAACTTCCTCATCTTAGGTCAGTTTCCAACAAACCTTATATCCAGAAAAAGGTGGTGAGAAGCCCTACGCTT